ATTTCTGGAAAGTCTCTGGAAACCTGATGGTTAGGAAAAGCGAAATTTTCGTATCACTACGTACAAAATCGACCGTGAAAGCGTGTCAGTTTCCTCATCAGGCTAAAAAGGCTGCGCGTCCGCCGTATAGGAGAAAACAAACAATTGAGAGGGAGATAAAAGTACCAAGAAATTAACGGCTCTGTCTTAATGTGCGTTTTCTCTTTTGTTTAGATAACAGAATCTTTTGTGCGAGCAAAATTCAGCTTTTCTTCCCGGATGTGAGCACAAGAGAGAATTTGTTATTATACTACTACAGAAACAAACAAGCACTCACGCCTGATAATCTTGTTTAATTTGTTTCTTTAGAGCTCAATTCATACCGCTCTTGACTTTCATTTTTTCAGTACATATGTTTTTCTTTATTAATAAACTTGTCGGCATCAGCTATATGCTGCAACAAAATTTCTTGGCCTGTCGGTTGCTGTACACATGATCAGGGATGTGACATTACCTTTATTAGATTTCAATGAAAAATAAATCATGACGTTTCCAAGCGCTTATGGAAGGTGATGCATGAGCATCTTTACTGATATTTATGTTTATTAGTTTGTTTTTCTTGTCTAGATCAATTCTTGCCGTACCCTGGTTTGAAGTGGGTGAAAAAGTACAAATCACTTGTGAAAAGACTGGGTATAGTGCTACTATTGATTTTCTGACCAAAGTAACGTTAGACTTTTGCATATTCATTTTTGATGATTGTTTAAAAGTTTCAGCCTTCTTTTGCATTCACAGCCATATTATAACGATAAGAAACATCAAATAACTGGCTCTATGTACGGATCTGATAGAATTATCTGAATGGATTATTCATACTGAAAAATCAGAAACTTTGTTGGGATAGTTCGATGTTTTACACGTTCTTTTTGTTGAAGACACAACTCGACAATCTTAATTTTATCAATTTTTCGTCTATTTTCGTTTTCAAGTTTAACTGATCTTCTGGTTTGTTAAACATTTTGTACTTAATCAGCATTTAATTTTTAGTTTATAGAAAGATGTTACTTGTTATTTAAAATCCAAACAAGTGGAAAAAGTCACAGAGGCCAAATCGAGATTAGAACAACGACAACGTGAAGCAGCGAAAGAACTAACAGAAAAATCACTAAAATGGCAAACGAAAGTTAGTTTAAAACTAGAAGTCGTAAATTTTAGAAGATGAAGGCATTATTTTGATCTGTTTGTTTTATAGCATTTTGTGGAGTCTGGCGAACTAAAATGGACATATAATGACAAATTATCTAAACTAAATTGAACTAATTGAATATAGTAATAAAAATTGAACAGCATACAATGACAAATTCCTCAAAAGTTAATTAAAATGCTGTTTCTCCGATCGGACGTCGCTTGAAACAAGATCGTTGAAATACAGACTTTGAATGTGCTAAATATTTTTTATTGTTAATTTTTTTATTTATATATTTTTTATCCATAGTATTTTAATAGTGAGTAAAATATCCTGTTGAACGGGTCTGTTTTGAATTTGTAATATTATAGTTTTTCAAACAATAACGAATTCGTTGTCTATGCTTCTTCCCTTTTTTGTATACAGAAAAATTATTTGTCCACCTCTATAATAGAGCATTTTTACTATTTTTCTAATCAAACAAGAAAGAAAGAAAATGAAAAGCTAACAATAATAACATTTAAGCTAGAGACAATAGACTATATTATGGTTCTCTAGCTCATTTGATTGGGTCACAGCAAAGATATATATACAAAGTGCTACTAATAGAGCTGGACGCATAATGTTTTGGTTCAGCGTACATTGTATTTCTTTCCTATAAGAGTAATTGATAAAAATTTTCCCCTTCTTTGAACACTTCCACGAGTTGGTCAATGTTATCTTACATTTTGTACCTAAAAACACGAGAACGAGCCTGAACGAAAATGAAATTCGGTAAAGAACAAAAGAAACTTCAAACTTTCTCTCTTCTGCTCACATCCGGGAAGAAAAGCTGAATTTTGCTCGCACAAAAGATTCTGTTATCTAAACAAAAGAGAAAACGCGCAGCCTTTTTAGCCTGATGAGGAAACTGACACGCTTTCACGGTCGATTTTGTACGTAGTGATACGAAAATTTCGCTTTTCCTAACCATCAGGTTTCCAGAGACTTTCCAGAAATCACCTGGAGATCTTGAAAATGTTTTCATCAGATTTAGCATCGTTTCTTACCTATTGTCTGTTAGTTTGAAGAATTTTGGATGAAAAATGAAAAAGTTAACGAAAAACGACTTGCCCGATTTTAGGCGAAA